TTTATGCTTCCCCTTAATATACTTTCTTCCAAAAGTGCAATTCTTTGGCTAAACGGCGGCGCGAACATTCCAGTTGGGTTGAAAAGAAGGGGAGAACCAAAGCCCAGTTGGATGTCCACAGACGAGTACTTGCTCACAGAAAGTAACATCCAGAGCTGATTCGCACAAGCCTGTGTACCATACAGGATTGCACACCTTTACCCAAATGAAAAGGTGCGGCTGGCGGATAGGGGGGCCATTGGCAATACCAAGCACTGCAAGAATCTAGTCAGGGTGTGTCTTGTTTGCTTATCCTATGCTCTGTTTTATGTATTAGTTAATAAAGCAAGCCCTGAACTGGGTGGCCCAGGAGAGCCTTATCTTGTCAGATCTCGGAAGCTAAGCAGGGTCAGCCCTGGTTAGGACTTGGATGGGAGACCACCAAGGAAGCCCAGGGTTGCTATGCAGAGGCAGGCAATGGCAAACCACCTGTTTGTTTACCATGAATAGGGGGTATACAAAAAAAAATCAGCATTTTTCGGGTTCGGGTAAATAGAACCCCCAAAATATCTGTATACTCTGGGTGGAGGCTTTCTTTGGGCGCCGCCATGGAGGAGTCTCTGCTGGGACTGGAGGAGACCACAGAGACCTCCTTTTCTGGGCTCGTGGGGACCATGTCACCTTGCGCCAACTCCTGGATGACCTCGCTGGCATGGCTGGAGCACAGTATGCCGGATTCCCCTGTGCTCGAACCCCTCCGTTGGAGTCTGTCTGCCTTGTTCCAAGACGAAGGCACTGCCACCACCCCGCTCCCTACGACATCTACAGCCACCTAGAAGACAACCCCGAGCCTACTGGAAGCTAGTGTAAACACATCCCCAGGGGAGACGACATCCACTGAGGACATCAACATAGAGACTGACTCCCTTCTGGGGCTCCAGTCTTGCAAGCAGCTGAGTGGCTTGTCCCGACCAGTGCCGGAGGGCTGCCTGGAGAGTGCCTTTGTCATCATAGAGACCTTCTCGCGCCACTTGCGGGCCTACCAGAAACTCCAGAGGCCAGTGGCAGACGTGGCGGTTGCGGAACAGAGGGATGTGACTACGCAGACCCCTGGAGAGTGTTCCGACGTGTCTGAGATGATGATGAGGGTCCAGCAATCTGAGCAGCAGATCCACGAGGTCCAGAGTCTAGCCCAGCGGATTACGGGCACCATCGAGGAAATGACCGGCCTTGCCGAAGGGTACACAGAGTACACGAAGGACAGGAAATGCTTTGCGGGCGCTGTGCAGGAGGACTGGAGCCAAATGCAGCTTGATTATGAGGCCTGGCAGAGCATGCTGGCCAAGTGCCAGGCGGAGATGAAGAGGATGAAGGAGGAGGTGAAGGCCAGCCGGCGGGAGTGTGCTCAGCACCAAGAGAGCTGTGAGAAGCTCAGGAACAGAGCATCTGCCTGGCATGCAGAAGGTCCCAGGTCATTCTCCTGTTGAAAAGATGAGGTAGGCTGAGAGTTTAACTCACTAAAAGGCAGGCTTTTTAGGGAGAAGAAGAAGAAGAGTAGCCCTATATGGTCTGGGTCCAGCCTACCTGAGGGACCGCCTTTTCCCGTATGTCCCCCCAAGAGCGCTACGGTCTGGGGCCCAAAACCTTCTAACTATACCGGGCCCCAAGGAGGCTAAGCTGGTCGTCACGAGGGCTAGGGCTTTCTCGGTGGCGGCCCCTACCTGGTGGAATGAGCTCCCGGAGGAGATCCGGGCCCTGCGGGATCTGGCGCAATTCCGCAGGGCCTGTAAGACGGAGCTCTTCCACCAGGCTTTCGATTAGGGGCCGCCGCCGCTGCCCCCCCCCGCTGTATACCATCAATGTGGGGGGGGTGAGGGCCCTAGGAGATTAGGAGGAACATCGGTGGAACATCTGATTAACATCTTTCATACTATGCCTACTAAGGGATGTGTGGTGCCCTCTCTGATGCCTTAGTATGGATGCTGTGTAGTTTGAGCACTTTATTAATTGTTTAGGCTTTTAAAATGTATATTATGGTTTTAAAATGTATTATAGTATTTGATGTTTTTATGAGCAAGTTTTTTGCTATGTAAGCCGCCCTGAGCCCTACGGGGGAGGGCGGGATATAAATTTAACAAATAAATAAATAAATAAGCTAAAGCAAGAGATGGACCAGATGGCAAAGACCAAAGCTGGCCTGGAAGCAGACTTGAGGGCCGCACTCCAGAATGCAGCAACTGCTGTGAAGAATGAACAGAAGCTGCTGCTCCAGGAAAATGAGCTCCTCTCCCAGCAGCTGGTGGCGAAAGGAGACCTTCTCAGGGAGATGAAGGAGCAGATGACACAGATGTCACAGGATAAAGAGACGGTGGAGCGGGACACGAGCTGGTGGGAGCTGCAGGAGTTACTGGACTGCCGAGAGTTTATGGAGCAAGAGAATCAAGTCTGCCGTGGCCATGTGCGGGAAGTGGAGGAGGAATTGAAGGCCAGCCGTTCGGCTCTGTGGGAGCGCAACGCCCAGCTGGAGGACCTGAAAGATGCTCATCAAACACTCCGGCAGGAACAGGGAGCTCTCTGCAGGGAGCTGGCCACCTGCAAAGCTGAGCTCCTGAGCACTCAAGGCAGCGTAGAGAAGTTCTGCAAGGCCCTGCTAGAGATTCAGATGGTCCAGGCACAGTTCTTGGGACTTGTGGACTCGCTGCAAGAGGAGGCAGCTGACAGCACCCCGGGGACCCGGACGTGCACTCCCACGCGGCAGGCACTGCAAAGCTTGGGGGCCTCCTTTGTTGACAGCGTCTTGCGTGCTGTGGCGGAGAGAGACCTGGAGACTCCCAGCATCGGCAGCGAGACCAGCGCGTTCACGAAAACCACCACAACTGCTGTGCCCAAACCAGAAGAGGTTGAGCAGAGGCTTGCGGCCAGCATCCAGGAGCTGCAGGAAGTGGCTGACCAGATTTGCCACCTGACCACCCAGCAACAGAAGGCTGCGCAAGAGGAGGTGCAAAGCCTGAGAGCGGAAATTTTGCAGCTGGAGCACCAGCGAGAGGCTTTGGAGTCCAAGCTGAAGGCTGAGCAAGATTCCCACGCTGCGGAGGTGGCGGAACTGAGTAAGACCCTGAATCTGCACAGGCAGAATGAGAAGGAGCTCCACGAGGCTCTCTGCCAGCAGGATGAGAAGCAGGTGCAGCTGGTGGACCGCCGTTGGGAAGTGATGCACCTACGAGAAGAGGTGTCCCAGTTGAAGCAGGCTCTCTGCAAGGCCGAGACGGAGGTGGCCGTGCCGTGGGAAGAGCTGCGAGGTGCCAGAGCCTCTGACGTGGGCTGGGTCCAGGAGAAAATCCAGCTGTCTCAGGAGGTAGGGAAACTGAGGGATCTCCTCCTGGAGAAGGACAGTGAAAATTCAGAACTTGAGCAGCTGTACCAGGCCAGGCAGAGGCTGAAGAGATCCAAGCAGGTAGCAGATATGATGCGGCAGGCGCTCACCAGGCTTAATGCAGATGTGGCAGACGTTTCTGAGTTGTACCACCTTTTGGACCTCCTGGAATGAAGCTGTCTGTCTGGCTGTTAGTATTGTAAATTTAAATTTCTGTATACTCCAATATTTACGAATCGGATTGTCGAACTTATCTGGCCCCGTTATACCCTATGGGAACAGTCCCCCCTAGGGTATAACAAAGAAGAGGGCGGGTGAACTCGTGCCGCTTCCGGGTTCACTCGTGCACGGCACGGCTTGAAAAAGCCATTTAAAGGGAAAGTTCCCTTTACATTGCTTTTGCAAAGCCAAGTTCTATGCGAGTAAACTCAAAGCATCACGAGTTCACCCACTTTTAACTTTAAATGCATTCTCCCAGCCCCGCCACTGCAGCACAGGCCGGTTTGACTTGGAGAACGCATTTAAAGAGACTCGTCTCTTTAAATGCCTACTCCAAGCTTTGCCGCCACCATGGCAGCAGTGTGACTTGGCAAGTGAGCTGAGCCCAAATAAAAGCCGAATAATATTTGCTTTTATTCGGGCTCAGGTAGATCAGTAGCCAAATCAGATTCTAAAATCTGATTCGGCTGAATAAATACCTGAAAATACCAATGGCAAAACCCACCTCTGAACGTCTCTTGCCTTGGAAACTCTACAGGGTCACCATAAGTCGACTGAGACTTGACTGTACTTCCCATCACCAAATAAAGCAAAATTTACAAAATCACAGGACGGCACCGGTGCTCTCATGTCCGAAAGAAACGAAGTCCTGCAGGGCCCACTCCCGGGACTTCTCAGCATCTGAGATGCCCTTAGGCTCGAAAAGGTTGGGGACCCCCTGTTCTAGGGCTAGGAAGTGCCAACTTTCCGTTTCCCAAGCCCCCTCTTTCCCCCAAGCTGTGAGGGCTTTTGGGGAGACTATTCCCCTTTCACCAAAGCCAACTGGAACATTCCCTGAAAGCATTTTAAATTACTATAACAGCACTATTTATTATTAAGAGACCAACCGAGCCAGCACAGAACACAAAACGTGCCCACCGGCATAGTTCCCTCTAAGCTGAGTTGGTGTGAGCTAGCTCACAGATTTTTAGCCTCCGGCTCACACATTTTTGTCTTAGCTCAGGAAGGATGGCTCAAGAGCAAACTAATTTATGCAGCAGCCAAATCGCTCGCTCACAACTTTAATGCCAGTAGCTCACAAAGTAGAATTTTTGCTCACAAGACTCCACAGCTTAGAGGGAACATTGCCCACCGGGTGTGGTGGATCTGCCCCAAACACTAGTTTTATGTCTCATTAACACAAAGGTAACAGGAAACATTTTGAGGACTATTAAAACCTTCAGCACGACAGACAGTTTGAGCGACTGAGGACTTTGGACTTACCATTTCGAAACAAAGAAAGTAGAGGCTGTTACAAAACTGCTTAAACAGAATATCAGAACTGACGGCTAAGTCTAAAAAAAGAGAAAGGTGAACAAAGAGCAGAGACCCGACAGCGACACTAGACAAGACAATCCAGAGAAGCAGTCCCGAGTAGCCGGACGTCTTTCTAGCTGCGAATGAGCGTCAAGAATTCTTCCCGCGTCTTTGGGTCTTCACGGAAGACTCCGAGCATCGTACTGGTTACAGTCTTACTGTTCATTTTCTGGACCCCTCGCATCACCATGCACATGTGCCTAAGGGGACAAGGAAGGAGAAATGCATGGCGTCAGCCACGGATAAATATAAATACACGTTGATGGGGTCCGAACTGGCAGAGACTGACCAAGAGAGAGATCTTGGAGTCGTAGTAGATAACTCAGTGAAAATGTCGAGACAGTGTGCGACTGCAATAAAGAAGGCCATCACTATGCTGGGGATTATTAGGAAGGGAACTGAAAACAAATCAGCCGGTATCATAATGCCCCTGTATAAATCGATGGTGCAACCTAATTTGGAGTACTGTGTACAGTTCTGGTCACCACACCACAAAAAGGATATTATAGCACTGGAAAAGCGCAGAAAAGGGCAACTAGAATTATAAAAGGGTTGGGACACTTTCCCTACGAAGAAAGGTTGAAGTGCTTGGGGCTCTTTAGCTTGGAGAAACGACGGCTGAGGGGTGACAGGATCGAGGTTTATAAGATTATGCATGGGATAGAGCAGGTTGACAAAGAAGTACTTTTCTCCCTTTTTCACAATTCAAGAACTCCTGGGCACTCAAAGAAACTGCTAAGCAGTTGGGTTAGAAGGGATAAAAGGAAGTCCTTCTTCAGCCAAAGAGTGATTAACACATGGAATTCCCTGCCACAGGAGGTGGTGGCGGCTACAAGCATGGACGGCTTCAAGAGGGAATTAGATAAGCATCTGGAGCAGAGGTCCATCGGTGGCTATTAGCCACAAGGTATAGATAGGAGCTCTTGGTCTGGGGCAAGGGATGCTCTGTCTTCTTGGTGCTTGGGGGGGGGACAACAGTGGGAGGGCTTCTAGTGTCCTGGCCCCACTGCTGGACTTCCTGATGGCACCTGGTATTTTTGGCCACTCTTCTTCTTCTTCTTCTCCCTAAAAAAGCCTGCCTTTTAGTGAGTTAAACCCTCAGCCTACCTCATCTTTTCAACAGGAGAATGACCTGGGACCTTCTGCATGCCAGGCAGGTGCTCTGTTCCTGAGCCGCAGCCCAGGTAGAAGAAGAAGAAGAGAAGAAGAAGAGATTGGATTGATGCCCCGCCCTTCACTACCCAAAGGAGTCTCAGAGCGGCTTACAAACTCCTTTCCCTTTCCCTTCCCACAACAGACACCCTGGGAGGTAGGTGGGGCCGAGAAAGATCCGAGGGCTGCCCCTGAGAGAACAGCTCTGAGAGAACTTGTAACTGACCCAAGGTCACACCAGCAGCTGCATGTGGAGGCGTGGGGGAATCAAACCCGCTTCTCCTAACCACTACACCAAGCTTGAGGCCTTGGCTGTGCCCACCAGACAGGCCTCCCAGGGACATCTGGGCACCGGGACTAGCAACTCTCAGAGAGCCGAACAACCCACCCCTGGGGTTTTCGCACCTGAGGCTGTTTCATAACCATCTACACAGCAGGATGTTATCACCTGCTGTTGGCCCCATCAGCTGCCACCGGAAGGTTATGCCTTTGCCGCCCTCCAGGGGGCAGCGGGCGCCTGGGGTGGCTGTCCCTGAGCAGGGGGACTCGGCAAAGACCAGGCAAACTTACGTTGCTTCGACCACCACCCCGACTCCGGCAGGCTGCAAGGCTTCCGTGATGGCGACGGCGATCTGTTTTGTAAGGCGCTCCTGAACTGTAGACAGACACAAAGACCAGAAAGAAAAGTTACTGATGATCCAGGGACCATGGACGACTTCTGTTGGTGATGGCTTCAGGGGGTAGCTGTGTTACGTTGCCCGGGACCTTAGAAACCAACAAGATATCAGGGGTATAAGCACTGGAGAGTCAAAGCTCTCTTCGTCAGGTAAGAGCTGGAACGGAGCTCTCTGAGTCCTGAGAGACAGTTTGGTGTGGTGATTAGAAGCGCGGACTCTAATCTGGGAGAAGCGGGTTTGATTCCCCCACTCCTCCACATGCAGCTGATGGTGTGACCTTGGGTCAATCACAAGTCCTCTCAGAGCTGTCCTCTCAAGGGCAGTCCTCGAAAGACCTCTCTCCCCCCGCCTACATCACAGGGTGTCTGTTGTAGGGAGGGGAAGAGAAAGGAGACTGTAAACCACTCCGAGTGAAGGGTGGAGTATAAATCCAATCTCTTCTTGTTCTTTTTGTATCCTAGTTGGAAGGTGGGAAGGGCGTTCAAAGAAGGGGCTCAGATAGCAGAGGTAAAATGCAAAATGACCCCCAGAAAACCCCCCCCCCCCGCTCTAATTAAGTTCAAAATTGTATTTTGATACAAAACCAGCTTCGGAGAGTTAGCGGTAATAGTAAAAAAAGCTGAATACAACATTCATTGTACTTCTGCACCCTGACTCTCTTCTTGGCAACACCCCTCTCAGCTAATTTGGTGCAGTGCGGGCTCTAACCTGGGAGAACTGGGTTTGATTCCCCACTACTCCACATGCAGCAAGTTGGGTGACCTTGGGTCAGTCACAAGTTCTCTCAGAGCCGTTCTCTCAAGAGCAGTCCTCAAAAGAGCTCTCTCAGCCCCGCCTGCCTCACAGGGTGTCTTTGTGGGGAGGGGAAGGGAAAGGAGATTGTAAGCCACTCCGAGTGAAGGGCAGGGTATAAATCCAATCTCCTCTTCTTCTTCTGACTGGGATATAAGGATTCGGAGGGCTCCATTCCAACTCGGATCTGACGAAGTGAGCTTTGACTTTCAGAAGCTTATATTCCCAACATCTTGTTTCTCTCTAAGGTGCTACTGGAGATGAATCTAGCTATTCCGTTGGTGAGCTGCGGTGGCTCAAGTGGTTAAGACGCTGAACTGCAGGCTGTGGAAGGTCGGTAGTTCAGCAGTTCGAGACCTGAGTGTGCCACGTGACGGAGTGAGCTCCCGTCTCTAGTTCCAGCTCCTGCCAACCTAGCAGTTCGAAAGCAAGAAATTGCAAGTAGATAAATAGGGACCACTTCGGTGGGAAGGTCACAGCGTTCCGTGCGCCTTGGTGTTTAGTCATGCCGGCCACAGGACCACGGAAACGTCTTCGGACAGCGCTGGCGCTTCGGCTTTGAAACGGAGATGAGCACCGCAACCCTAGAGTCGGATTCGACTGGCTTTCGAGCAGGGGAACCTTTACCTTTACCTTTATTCCGTTGGTGAGAAATTGATTTGCACGGAGCTCATGGCCAGAGACAACAATTCTCGACGCAGGAGGGGAAGATGCATTTTTTTAAAAAAAGTTTTCATAGTAATCTGCTTTATTCATTTAGCTAAGGGGTCCCCAACCTTTTTGAGCCGTTGGGCACCTTTGGGGTTCTGACACAGGGTGGTGGGCACAATAACAAAATGGCCGCCACAGGAGGCGGCGCCAACCACAGGATATCAGGGAGGGAGTTTAGGCCCACGTCCAATAGTAACTTCTTCAACATTCCGGGCAGAAGCCCCTGTTGAACAGGATACCTTTTAACCCGTGCAGCCCGTCAGATCTCCAGCGGCCAATCAGGAGCCCTGCAGGGCAAAAGCTGCACTGGGCCCTGCCCAATTTCTAAAGACACTTGCCGGAAAGATGCTGGTAGGGGCCGTGGTGCCCGCGGGCGCCGTGTTGGGGCCCTTATGCAGCACTTTTTTTATCCCACCCTTCCTCCGAGGAGCTCAGGGTGGCGTACATTATTCTCCTCTCCTCCATTTTATCCTCACTACAGCCCTGTGAGGTAGGTTAGGCAGAGAGAGAGAGAGAGAGAGAGAGAGAATGAATGAATGGCCCAAATGTCACTCGGTAGACTTAGAATCACAGAGTTGGAAGGGGCCCTACAGGCCATCTGGTCCAACTCCCTTGCTCAATGCGGGATCAGCCTAGAGCATCCCTCACAGGGTTTGTCCTGCTGATGCTTGAAGGCTGCCAGTGAGGGGGAGCTCACCTTCCCAGGCAGCTGATGCCACTGTGGCACAACTCCGACTGTCAAAAAGTGTTTCCTAATATCCAGCCGGCACCTTCCCGCCCTTAATTTCAACCCATTCTTGCGAGTTCTCTCCTCCACTGCCACCAGGAACAGCTCCCTGCCCTCCTCTAAGTGACGGCCCTTCCGATACTTCAAGAGAGCAATCCTGTCCAACGTTCCCTGTAAAATGGGAAGCTTTGTGAGCAAAAATGCTACTTTGTGAGCTACTGGCATTAAAGCAGTGAGTGAGTCATTTGGCTACTGCATAGATTAATGGGCTCTGGAGCCATCCTTCCTGAGCCAGACAAAAACGTGTGAGCCGGAGGCTAAAAAATTGTGAGCTCACGCTAACTCAGCTTAGAGGGAACACTGATTCCTGTCCACCCCCAACCTCCTCTTCTCCAGACTGAGCATTCCCAAGTCCCTCAGCCTTTCCTCACAGGGCTTGTTGGTCTCCGGGCCCCGAACTTCACGGCAAAGGGCTCAGCGACACATTACAGATCCTTCCCTGTTGATAAAGGTAAAGGTAAAGGTCTCCCTTGCTCGAAAGCCAGTCGAGTCCGCCTCTAGGGTTGCGGTGCTCATCTCCGTTTCCAAGCCGAAGAGCCAGCGCTGTCCGCAGACGTTTCCGTGGTCATGTGGCCGGCATGACTAAACACCAAGGCGCACGGAACGCTGTGACCTTCCCACCGAAGTGGTGCCTATTTATCTACTTGCAATTTCTTGCTTTCGAACTGCTCGGTTGGACGGAGCTGGAACTAGAGACGGGAGCTCACTCCATCATGCGGCACCTGGGTCTCGAACTGCTGAACTACCGACCTTCCACAGCCTGCAGTTCAGCAACTTAACCACTTGAGCCACCGCAGCTCCTCCATGTTGATACCAATTCATTAATTGGCTTTTAATCAGATTTGCGAACTGTCCTGGTGCCGCTGCGGTTAGTGTGTTTACAAGCCATGCAATAGCCTACGCCCAATCCCTGCCTCCGCGGCTAAAGATGCATTTTCTCTAAGTAGGGCAGAAAAGGCGATTACTTACCCTGTAACCTTCTGCTGTATATTTCCACAATCAAGCGTGTGCGGGGGTGGGGGGGGGGGAGAAAGGGAGGGAGAGAGAGAAGGCATCTTCTGTTAATAGCACTGTCTTCTGGGCGTAGGTGCGATTTTTTAAAAAACGACTCAATAGTCTTCCTTTCTTACAAGGCCTCAAGACAGGTCACACATAGTGAGTCTGCACGGTCGACCACAGGGGACATTCAATAACCAAGGCATTCGGGGTCTTAGCAGTCTGGAGCCACCCGGAAGAACTGGAACAGGCAAGTCCTCGTGTGACACATAAAGCGGTAAAGAAAGTACATAAATAGGATCCTACTTCTAATAATCTAAACGCAGCCAAATAGATCACAGACCCTAACCATTTATCCAAGCAGGTGTGTAAAACCATTCCCTATGATGCAGTCCTGACAAGCTCGAGCGTGTCCAGACGAGGGCAACCAGGATGGTGAGAGGGTTGGAATCTGTTAAGTCCCTCGCTTAACAAATAAGTCGGAGACTGATTCAGCAAAGAACACAGCTTTATTCTTCAACTCGAACACAACTCCAACACGGATCAACATCAGATAGCCAGAACAGCTTTTGCATTAAAGTTGTTCCCTTTTTAAACTCTCCCGGCTAATATAGCCACGGCTTTACTGTACATTATCAACCAATGAGATTGTCTTCATAATGACCAATCATCTACGTTCCCGCTCAGGGAGCTTGCTGATTGCGATTGGGTGGTTCTTCCTGGGCTAGCCATGCGATTGGGTGCATTAGGCTCCTAGCCCAGGATGAAGCTTAACACTGCTTTTCCATGAGGTGATTCACATACATGTTTAGGCATTCAATGACAGCTATTGAATACACTACAGAATCCAAGTCTTACGAGGAAAGGCTGAAAGAGTTGGGTATGTTTAGCCTGGGAAAGAGAAGGCTTAGAGGGGACAGGATTGCAGTCTTCAAGTATTTGAAGGGCTGTCATGTAGGAGATGGAGCAGATCTGTTCTATCTTGCTCAGATTGCAAGACTAGATCTAATGGGTGGAACATACAAGGGAGTCGTTACCGGCTAAATATCAGGAGAAATCTCCTAACTGTAAGAGTGGTTGAGCAGTGGAACGGTCTGCCTCGGGGTGTGTGTGTGTGTGCATGCTCTTTTGCTGGACGTTTTCAAGCGGAGGCTGGACGACCATCTTTCGGGTATGTCGTAGGGCTGTCTTTCGGCTATGCTCCTGCGGGGTGCAGGGGGTTGGACAGGATGACCCGCAAGGTCTCTTCCAACTCTTCCAACTCTGACATTCTATGATTCTATTACTTGCCCAGAAACATTCTCTTAAATATACATTCAGGTGGGGTAGCCGTGTTGGTCTGAAGTGACAGAACAGCAGAGGAAGAGGAGGAGGAGGAAAAGGAGAAGAGGAAGACAAGGAGGAGGAGATTGAATTTATACCCCACCCGTCACTACCCGAAAGAGTCTCCGAGTGGCTTACAACCTCCTTTCCTTTCCCCTCCCCACAACAGACACCCTGTAAGGTACGCGGGACTGAGAGAGCTCTTGAGAGAAAAGCTCTGAGAGAACTTGTGACTGACCCAAGGTCACACCAGCAGCTACATGTGAAGGAGTGGGGAATCAAACCCGGTTTTCCCAGATTAGAGTCTGCGCTCCCAACCACTACACCAAACTGGCTCTACTACACCCAGTTTAATTCTGTGTGCATGCATGCCCACCTCTTCAGGTACAGTATCTGAAGGAGTGTGCATGCACATGAAAGTTTATACCTAGAATTAAACTGTGTTGGTCTTAAAGGTGCCCCTGGACTCAAAATTTGCCCTCTTGAATAAGTTTAGTTTTGTGTCGTTTGTGAAAGGCCAAGAGAGCGGGAGCTTTCCACGCAACCATGAATTTATAAACACACCTACAAACCCAAGTCCTCAGAGAAAAATGTACGAACCTTCATGCTGGCATACTCTAAGGGTACTACAGACGTCACTTTCCCTGGAGAAAATGTTGGCTTCGGAGGTATGTCTGCATTTTTAACTGTTTTAACCATTGGCATACGTGCCCAGTTTGTGAACCGCCCTGAGCCCGCTCGCGGGGAGGGAGGACTATAAATCTCATAATAAACAAACAAACAAATAAATGTAATGGGCGCAATCCAGTCATGGGGAAGACCATTCTAGGGCCTGTGAAGAAAGGCATGGAGGGGGGGGGGGTTGAACTGAGCAAGACCTTCACCGTGTAACCCTGTGAATTTTACATTCTGGTTTTTTTCCCCAAATATATTGTACATATTCTGCTCTAATGCGTTTTATCTACGTTGTAAGCCGCCCCGAGCTCCATAAAGAAGAAAGTCGGCTATTAAACGTTTTAAATGAAACGGAATTACAAGAGCGGGGATTGGACTTTGGCCCTTCCGGGTCGTATCCTGACAACCTAACCGTTCCCCGCCATGCCGACATGGGAAAGACTTCCGGCAAAATCCCCGCACTGAGTCGCAGCCGTCCCGGCTCAGCACCTGCTCGGACGGCTCGGCTCCACGGCATCATCGGCCACTTGACTTAAGTGACGTATTGATTGGCGAGAGCTGGAACGAAAATTGCCAGCTTCCAGAGCCATTATTAGCTGCTAAAACAGAGTCATTGGATGCGAGTGACAATTCCAGTTTCAAGCCCTTTCCGGGGGGGGGGGGGGGGGAGGGGGGGCGCAATTGAGAAATAATTGCGGCCAAGGCAGTCGACGCGATCCCATCAATTGACCCTCCGATTGACGACCAGCAGGGGAGAAACGGAGCCCCTCTGAAGCCCTCCAGGGATGGAAAAACTCAAAAAGGCCGCCGCTAGGGCAGGCGAGACGCTGGAGAATCTTCGCAGCGACGTCTGCTCGCGGGCGCACGGGCAGACACAAATGCCAGCGACAAACCCGGCCGCCCTCGAATTCCCGACGTCTGGAGAGTCAATATGTTGCACGCAAAGCAAGTGAATCATCAAATGCCAGAAAAGTCGGAAGGTCGCTGTTAATGCAAGGGGTGACGGGGAGGCCAGGACACCAAGACCAATCAGAGAAGGCAACTGGTGATTTAACACAGTAACAATGGCCCTGCTGGATCAGGCCAAGGATATGTGTAGACCTGCCCCTAGCCCTCACACGAAGCTGCCTACTACTGAATCTGACCATAGGTCTATCAACGTCAGCATTGCCTGCTCAGACTGGCAGCAGCCCTCCAGGGTCTCAGGCAGAGGTCTTTCCCATCACCTCCTACCTGATCCTTTCAACTGGAGAAGCCAGGAATTGAACCCGGGACCTTCTGCATGCAAAGCAGAGGCTCTTCCACTGAGCCACAGCCTCTCCCCTCCTCTCAAAAGTGACCAGGGAGTCCTATACGGTGGCTCAGAGGGCAAAGCTCTTCCCTGTTGGCTTTCAGAAGTATACTGCTTTGGAACACAAAAATTGTGTTTAGCCATCACAGCCAACAGTCACCAGCACAGCTTTCCCCTCCCAAGACCCTGGATCTTCCTTAAGAACATCAGAAGAATTCTCTGGATCAGACCAGGGGTCCATCTAGTCCAACATCAGAAGAGCCCTGCAGGATCAGACCAGTGGTCCATCTAGTCCAGCATCCTGTCCCAAACAGTGGCCAACCAGTTCTGCTGAGGGGCCAACAACAGGGCATAGAGGCCGAGGCCTTCATAAGAACATCAGACGAGCCCTGCTGGATCAGACCAGTGGTCCATCTAGTCCAGCATCCTGTCCCACACAGTGGCCAACCAGTTCCTCCGGAGGGCCAACAACAGGGCATAGAGGCCGAGGCCTTCATAAGAACATCAGACGAGCCCTGCTGGATCAGACCAGTGGTCCATCTAGTCCAGCATCCTGTCCCACACAGTGGCCAACCAGTTCCTCCGGAGGGCCAACAACAGGGCATAGAGGCCGAGGCCTTCATAAGAGCATCAGAGAAGCCCTGCTGGTTGACCACTGTGTGAGACAAGATGCTGGACTAGATGGGCCACTGGTCTGATCCAGCAGGGCTCTTCTGATGTTCTTGTCTAAACATAAAAGCCTTTTCTTTTCAAGGAAGGAGCTTCGGCACTTGATAATCCTCACTGCTTTTCTAGAGACAGGGCAACTGGTACCACACCTAAAGGAAGCTTATAGAACAGCATTATGATTACTGGCTGATTTTCAGACCCTTTCTTAATCATTTCCTGCAAGCATCGTACCCTTTAGCATTAAAGGTTTCTCCCCATCCACGTGAGAAGAACAGCAGGTTTTTATAACCATCGCCGTCTAATCTCTGGAAAAGTGCCAGTTTTCCAGCGGCAAGTTTTTATAACCATCCCCGTCTAATCTCTGCAAAAGTGCCAGTTTTCCAGCGGCACATCCAGGGATCCGGTTTCAACACCCCTCTGGGCCTAGTGGCCTTTGAGAGACAGGCCAAAGTTTCTAAAGTGAATCACAATTGCTTTGAATTCACATCTGAAATTCACGCGCAGAGATTGATCCCTGCGAATGACGACGAGACATTTTTTAAAAAAGTCAGATTTAATTGAGCCATTCACAATAGCAGAAGGTCGCTGTTAAACGAGACCGGAGGAACGGAGACCGCAGGAATCCAAGTTGCAAATGGCAAGTTTACTGCTTAAGAAGTAGAGGGGGGAGTATTTCAATCAGTTCTCAAACAACAACAACACATTTTAGCAACTTAGTTCGAGAACTCGTCTCCCGCCCCCCTCAGCCTCCAAAGACACACACACACCTTTGCAATAATACAAAAATAAGAGCGATCTGGTTAATGCTAACTACACAGCACCCAGAACCCCAAGAGTACAGGAAGCCGTCTTCTACTGAATCAGCCCGTAAGTCCGTCAAGGTCAGTATTGTCCTTGAAATTTGCTGGACATTTCCAAGCGGACGCTGGACGACCCTCTCTCGGATATGTTCAAGGGCTAAATTTCGGCTATTGTCCTTGTCCGTCAAGGGCTTCTAATGTCCTGGCCCCACTGGTGGACCTCCTGATGGCACCTGGTATTTCTGGCCACCGTGTGACACAGAGTGTTGGACTGGATGGGCCTTTGGCCTGATCCAACATTGGCATCTCTTATGTTCTTATGTCTACTCACACTGGCAGCGATTCTCCAGGGTCTCAGGCGGAGGTCTTTCACGTCACCTCCTGCCTGGTCCTTTTCAACGGGAGACGCTGGAGATTGAATCTGGCACCTTCTACGTGCCAAGCAGAGGCTCTGCCACTGAGCCACGGCTTGTCCTCAAACACACATGGAGCTGCCAAGCTAAACATGAGCCTGCAGTGCAATGTGACTGCAAAGAAAGCTAACGCAATCTTAGGATGTCTTAACAGAAGCATTGTGTCCAGATCACGGGAGGTGGTTGTTCCACTCTATTCTGCTGTCTATTAAACTGTCAGAGTGGTTGAGCAGTGGGACAGACTGTCTCGGGAGGTGGTGGATGCTCCTTTGCTGGACGTTTTCAAGCGCAGGTCTTTCCCATCACCTACTGCCTGGTCCTTTTAACTGGAGATGCCAGGGATTGAACCTGAGACCTTCTGCGTGCCAAGCAGATACTCTACCACTGAGCCATGGCCCCTCTTTACAGCTCCCCAGGGTCTCAGGCAGAGGTCTTTCCCATCACCTCCTGCCTCATCCTTTTTTAACTGGAGATGCCGGGGATTGAACCGGGGACCTTCTGCATGCCAAGCAGATGCTCTGCCACTGAGCCTCAGCCCCTCTTTACAGCTCTCCAGGGTCTCAGGCGGAGGTCTTTCCCATCACCTACTGCCTGGTCTCTTTAACTGGAGATGCCGGGGATTGAACCGGGGACCTTCTGCATGCCAAGCAGATGCTCTGCCACTGAGCCTCAGCCCCTCTTTACAGCTCTCCAGGGTCTCAGGCGGAGGTCTTTCCCATCACCTACTGCCTGGTCTCTTTAACTGGAGATGCCGGGGATTGAACCGGGGACCTTCTGCATGCCAAGCAGATGCTCTACCTCCAAGCCACAGCTGCTCCCTCACTAGTCCCCTCTTCCCAGGTTCGCACACTCCTTTTAAGCACCCAATCTGCAGGCAACATGTGCAAATCCCGCCCCCAATTCTGCCCCCAATTTCCAGTTTACTCTAGCTAGGGACACCAAGTTCTCCTTCTCAAACGCAGACGCTCTCCCTGGAAGCCCCATGCTGAGAAATGGGCACTGTTCCTTAGTGACGCCCTAGCGGTGGTTTCCCAACTTTTTGGTACGGTGACCCAGAAGTGGAAATTTAATTTGTACGGTGACTCGCCCAGCTTGGGAAGGTGACGTGGCTTGGCAGAAACTGGCTCAGGCGTTGGAAAAAGACCCAGAACACAAAACATCAAGCAGAGCGAAAGCACGGACACAGGCCACACCGCAGAAACGACACCGCTGCTCCAAAACCATAGCCCATTCCGCATCGAGCATTCGCTCCGTTCTTTTACCAAACCCACACTGGAACAGAGAAAGAGGCAGCTCAACACCACATGCAAATACCCCGGGCCAACGCCGTACTGACTGCAGGGTCACCCCTGAACGGCCATAAATCTATGCAGACGGTACCATAAAGAAAAAGAAGAAGAAGAGGAAGAGGTTGGATTTATCCCCCGCCCTTCATTACCCAAAGGAGTCTCAGAGCGGCTGACAAACTCCTTTCCCTTCCCCTCCCCACAACAGACACCCTGTGAGGTAGAAGAAGAAGAGGAAGAGATTGGATTTATATCCCACCCTTCAATACCCGAAGGTGTCTCAGAGTGGCTGACAAACTCCTTTCCCTTCCCCTCCCCACAACAGACACCCTGTGAGGTAGAAGAAGAAGAGGAAGAGATTGGATTTATATCCCACCCTTCAATACCCGAAGGTGTCTCAGAGTGGCTGACAAACTCCTTTCCCTTCCCCTCCCCACAACAGACACCCTGTGAGGTAGAAGAAGAAGAGGAAGAGATTGGATTTATATCCCACCCTTCAATACCCGAAGGTGTCTCAGAGTGGCTGACAAACTCCTTTCCCTTCCCCTCCCCACAACAGACACCCTGTGAGGTAGAAGAAGAAGAGGAAGAGATTGGATTTATATCCCACCCTTCAATACCCGAAGGTGTCTCAGAGTGGCTGACAAACTCCTTTCCCTTCCCCTCCCCACAACAGACACCCTGTGAGGTAGGTGGGGCTAAGAGAGCTCTTGACAGAAACTGCTCTTTTTCAAGGACAGCTCTTATCAGAACTACGGCTTGCCCAAGGTCATCCAGCCAGGTGCAAGTGGAGGAGTGGGGAAGCAAACCCGGTTTTCCCGGATTAGAGTCCGCGCACTTAACCATTACACCGAACTGCCTCTCGCACCAAACTGGTGAGATCAAAGGAAGTGAAACCAGCCTGCAGTGTGGAGGCTACCATAAAATCCGACAATCAAAGAAAGTGAAAGCGGCAGGGGAATTTCTTGTTTCAACGTGAGTTTGGTAAAACAGCGGAGCGAATGCTCGATGCAGAGTGGGCCACAAAATCAGCTACTGGAGAAAGCGAGGGAAAGAACGGGAGAACGGCAGATAATCTCCGACACTGTTCCACGCGCCCTGACGCCACCACTGACTGGGGTGGTATCAGCCAGGATTAACAATGACCCAGAGATGCTTAGCTCAGCAGTCTGTGCAGCCCAGGTGTACCGGCCGCCGATTGCTTTATCTCTAGAAGCAGCGTCAGCCGAGCCACGACGGATTGACGGCAGTGTTCCCCCTAAGCTGAGTGAGTGTGAGCTAGCTCACAGTTTTTTTAGCCTCCGGCTCACACATTTTTGCCTTCGCTCAGGAAGGATGTCTCCAGAACAAACCGATTTATGTAGGAGCCAAATCGCTCACTTACAACTTTAATGCCAGTGGCTCACAAAGTGGAATTTCTGCTCACAAGACTCCACAGCTTAGAGGGAGCATTGGTCGGGTCGAGTGTTCCCTCTAAACTGAGTGAGTGTGAGCTAGCTCACAGTTTTGTAGCCTCCAGCTCACACATTTTTGCCTTTGCTCAGGAAGGATGTCTCCAGAGCAAACCGATTTACGCAGCAGCGAAATCGCTCACTCACAACTTGAATGCCAGTGGCTCACAAAGTAGAATTTTTCCTCACAAGACTCCACAGCTTAGAGGGAGCATTGACAGGTGACCGTACCGGCTTGCTGGAATTCAGCCAAGGAGGTCAGACTATTCGAGCTCAACAGTGCTTAACCGCCTGGGATTAACGTTAGTAATCAGCATGACTTTAATTACCTGCAGGTCTTACCTTGCCAGCTTGCTGAGGCCGAGGACTTGTTTGTTAGGGAGGTAGCCTATGTGGACCTGGAACAGAAGGAGAAAGCCATGAGAAAGAGGTCAGACAACTCCATTTCACACATCGAAGCTGCCCTATACTGAATCTATCTCTATTTGTTACGGCACCAAGCCAGCAAACCAGTAACATCGTACATAACCGATGCACACGATTTGTTAAGCTATGCATATAAAAGCCATGATCTAAAAAAGATTTAAGAGGTTAAGTAATCTTTTCTTTGCGGATACAGTCACAAGCTGCACAGAATTTAGCTATGAGTTTGGTAATCAGGAGCTCTGGCAGTAAGGAGCCCAGGGGGCGGGCACATGCAACAAGCCCCGCCCTCTGCTCCCAGCAGCCCTCAGTCAGGCCACAAGGAGCAAGAAGCAGCCAGGTAAGCTGCAGAGCCCCCCCCTCCAAGGCAGATCTGCACGTTCCCCCCCCCCCAAATAGCTAGCAATCCAGAACAGTCCAGTGGAGCCTGAGCAGTGGGTGTTGCCTTCTGACACACTTCCGGTGATGTCAGGGGGTGTGGCATATGCAAATAAGTTATGCTAATGAGTTATGCTAATGACCTCCTGAACCTCTTTTTCTACGAAATGACCCCTGATCCTCAGTATGACCCACCTTGCAGGGTCGTTTGTAAGAATAGAATTTAGGGCGGAGAATCTGAGCACCTTGGAGGGAGGGAGGGATAAAAACGTGCCAGAGAGAGAGAGCTCTGCAGCTCGGATGCCCGTAACATGGACAGAAGGAAAACGGATCCAGGTGGGGTCGCCGCGTCGGTCTGAAGCAGCAGAATAAAGCCTGAAGGTGCGTCCAGACGGGCAGCTAATCCCGCCATTACGCCGGCTCAAATTTGATCCCGATGTTTTTAATCAGGTCCTCGCGCAACCAGACATCCCCTGGGGGGGATCGCCTTACTGCGCGCTGCTTCTGCTGTGGCTTGTCTAGACGGCGTCCACTGAAGGAGGCGCGCGCAGTGGGGGGGGGGTTCCTAAATTTTTAAAATTTATTTTTTATTTATTTATGTTTTGATTTATATCTCGCCCTACCCCGAAGGCTCAGGGCGGCTGACAAGGGCACCATGTGCCAAGGTTAAAACAATAAAACACATAATATAAAACAATAAATTACAATAAAATACAGTAACAAATTTACCAAATTACAGTACAGATTTAGCCAAGATGGGTAGATCTTAACCTCCATTATAACTTCCTGAGATCTTGTCATCCAATCCCTGCCCGGTCGCCTCGCTCCCCCAGTGGGGTCCAGATAATCATGATGGTAATACAACCGTGCATAGGGGGCGGAGGTGGAATAGTGGTGGCAGCAGCTCCTACTCAAAAGCCTGGCGGAAGAGCTCCGTCTTACAGGCCCTGCGGAACTGAGAAAGGTCCCGCAGGGCCCGGATCTCTTCCGGGAGCACCTTCCACCAGGTAGGAGCCGCCACCGAAAATGCCCTGGTCCTGGTCACCGCAAATTTAACCTCTCTAGGGCCTGGAATTGCCAGGAGATGACACCCCCTCGACCGTAGTGCCCTTGGGGGAACATATGGAGAAAGGTGGTCTCCTTTTTTGCACATGCGCATAGGCGTGATCGCATGTCCTTGTAGATCCGTGCTTGCGCGGAATCAAACGTTCAAAGCACCGCGGGAGGGACGCGTGGCCGTAATTCCAACCGACAGGACAGCCCAAGCAGGACCAAATTCTTCTTTCATTTTCTGTTCCGACCCACGCTTGTAGGGCTGGACTAAACGAGTCCCAGCCATCCCCCTTGCCATTGAGATCATGCGCACTGGAGGGACTATTTTGCATGTCAAAAGACCCATCCCTCCCTCCATCTCCCATCCCATTAACCGATCATCCTCAAACTCAGATTTACACCCCGCCCTGAGCCTGCTTTGCGGAGAGGGCGGGGTATAAATATGACAATACATAAAGAAATAAATAAACCTCACGGGTCATTCAAAACATTGAAGTGTTCGTGGCGCTGGATTGGGGTCCCGCAGCCTCGTTTTTAAATGCGTTTAAGTGCATATCGAGTCGTGATTTTTTTAAAAATCGCTCCCGCTCGGGATGGTCTGACGCCAGACCACCCCGACGGGAGGATTGCGTGCTGCTGGAACGATCAGACGGGTGAAAGTCCGCAGTTGTCCCGTCGGGACCTGAAAACTGCAGATTTAAAGTGGTATCTTTTAAGTACGGCTCCAAAGCGCAGGGGATGCCCATGGAACAGGGACGTTTCCCAGATGTTTGTGTCTGGATATTACCTTTAAATCCGCCGGCACTTGTGCCTGGCGCGGATCTAAAGAGCCGTCTGAACGGACCCTGTGTCCAGTGGCACCTTTAAGACCAAGAAAGTTTTATTCAAAGTGTAAGCTTTCATGTGCAAGCCTGAAAAAGGATGAAAAACTAGCACTCTTGATCAATTTTATCTGCAAATACAGCCGGCAAAGCTTCTTCTCATAAACTGGATCCAAGGATCACCGGGAGTACAACAAAGTTGTCCCTTTTCCGAGAAGCTGGGACTGCTTAACAATTTGTAAAAGTTCCACAATACTTGGAAAAACCACAGAATGTGCCTTCCAGAGAGAAAAGAGTCTTGTGGGCACAGAGATGAGAAGGCATTTTAAAAAACTCCTCCATTCCTTCTACCCCCACCCCCCAATGATTTAAATTTTTTTCACGGAAAATTTCCCTCCACACACACACATCTATCTATCTATCTATTTATCTATCTTCGCAACGAAAATTTCCCCATATATATCTATATCTTCACAACGAAAATATTTCCCCATATATATATCTATATCTTCACAATGAAAATTTCCCCATATATATATCTATATCTTCGCAACGAAAATTTCGCCATATATATATCTATATCTTCGCAACGAAAATTTCCCCATATATATATCTATATCTTCACAATGAAAATTTCCCCATATATATATCTATATCTTCACAATGAAAATTTCCCCATATATATATCTTCACAACGAAAATTTCCCCATATATATCTATCTATATCTTTACAACGAAAAAGGCTAGAGACTGGGAATTCATAGAATGTGATATAACTATTAATTAATTAAATTAAGAATATAAGAACATAAGAGAAGCCAATGTTGGATCAGGCCAATGGCCCATCTAGCCCAACACTCTGCACACAGTGGCCAAAAATACCAGGTGCCATCAGGAGGTCCACCAGTGGAGCCAGGACAGTAGGAGCCCTCCCGCTGTTGCCCCCCCCCCAAGCACCAAGAATACAGAGCATCCCTTGCCCCAGATCAAGAGTCCCTATCTATACCTTGTGGCTAATAGCCACTGATGGACCTCTGCTCCATATGCTTATCTAATTCTCTCTTGAAGCCGTCCAGGCTTGTAGCTGCCACCACCTCCTGTGGCAGTGAATTCCACGTGTTAACCACTCTTTGGATGAAGAAGGACTTCCTTTTATCTGTTCTAACCCGACTGCTCAGCCATTTCATGGAGTGCCCACGAGTTCTTGTATTGTGAGAAAGGGAGAAAAGGACTTATTTCTCGACCTGCTCTGTCCCATGCATAATCTTATAAACCTCGATCCTGTCACCCCTCAGCCGTCGATTCTCCCAGCGCTTTAACCTTTCTTCACAGGGAAAGTGTTCCAACTCTTTGATCATCCTGGTTGCCCTTTTCTGCACTTTTCCCAATGCTATAATATCCTTTTGAGGTAACATACGGCCGCTTCGCGTATGTGAATGCATTTATCATTCTGCCCTTGCCACCAGTTGGCTTTTAGGGGAGGGGCCGTGGCTGAGTGGCAGAGCCTCTGCTTGGCATGCAGAAGGTCCCAGGTTCAATTCCCAGCATCTCCAGTCAAAAAGGACCAGGCAGGAGATGATGGGAAAGACCCGTGCCTGAGACCCTGGAGAGTGGTGAACAGAACCGTACATAGTACTCCAAATGAGGTCGCACCATCGATTAATACAGGGGCATTTTGATACTGGCTGATGGGAGTGCCTCACAACTTAGATTTACTAGGCCGCCCTTCCCTACAAGCAGGGCTCAGGGCGGCTTACAACAGTATTATACACTCACATAAAGGTAAAGGTTCCCTTGCTCGAAAGCCAGTCGAGTCCGACTCTAGGGTTGCGGTGCTCATCTCCGTTTCAAAGCCGAAGAGCCAGCGCTGTCCGAAGACGTTTCCGTGGTCATGTGGCTGGCATGACTAGACGCTGAGGCGCACGGAACACTGTTACCTTCCCACCGAAGTGGTCCCTATTTATCTACTTGCAATTTCTTGCTTTCGAACTGCTAGGTTGGCAGGAGCTGGAACTAGAGACGGGAGCTCACTCCGTCATGGGCACACTCGGGTCTCGAACTGCTGAACTACTGACCTTCCACAGCCTGCAGTTCAGCGTCTTAACCGCTTGAGCCACCGCAGCTCCATATACACTCACATACGCCGCCATTAAAAACAGCCCACCTACTGTTTTTAATGTAGTTGTATGTTAGCCACCTATCTGGCAAGCATATCAATATAACGATATTCAGACAGGTTTGCTAGACCTGCTCCACACAGAAGCAAGAGTGTTCAGGACTCAAAGACAGGCAAAACAACATTGCACAACATCGCAAAACTGCTTCCAGCTGGAGACCTAGAAACGACGCCAACTTGCTGTGCAATGCTCCGAGAGCAAGTGTGGTGTCGTGGTTAAGAGTGGCAGACTCTAATCCGGAGAACCGGGTTTGATCCCCCACTCCGCCACCTGAAACCTGCTGGGTGTGGTCAGTCACACAAGTTCTCTCAGAGCTGTTCTCTCAAGCGCAGTTTCTCTCAGAGCTCTCTCAGCCCCACCCGCCTCACAGGGTGTCTGTTGTGGGGAGAGGAAGGGAAGGAGATTGCAAGCCACTCTAAGTGAAGTGAAGAATGGGGTATAAAACCAACTCCTTCTAGGATTTTCCTCGATCTCTATGGTTAAAACCGACCTTCCGGTCTGCAGCTCAGCGTCTTACCTTAACACACAGAAAAGGTTGGAATAAGA